ATATATTTTTTATTTTTTTTTATTTTTTTTTTTTAATGTCGCAAGTAAGTATATCCTCAACCAATCACTATATTATTAGGCGGATTGATTTATCAGTTAAGTTAGTTATTTTATATCATGAAATTAAATTATATTTTTATGGAGTGTGGTAGCATATTTTTAATTAGGATTTAGGTAAAACTCTAATGCCAAGCCACCAGAATGATTCAAGATTGTAACAATTGAATGTTATAAGGGAAAGATACATCACTTCCTTTGATTCGACTGTGCGTCTTCTCAAGATCAATGACACACGAAAGAGTTGAATTTCTTTCACCACACTGAGAGCCTCAACTCTCAAGTGGCTCAACAAATTACCAGCACAAGTAATCATATCATTCACATACTTTAAGAAAATGTTCATGGTATATTTTAACAGTGCTTAGAAAACCTTAGAAGAGCTGCAAACTCTTTTGAAGCTTTGTCGGGGACAAAATAAGACCCTACATGCCTTCGTCAATGTTAGAGGTTTGAGTCATATGTTCTTGCATCCCTCATATAAGAATTAGAGGACCTTGTTGTTATGCACTAGAATTGCTGCGACCAAAGATACTAACTGAGCCGATGGAGCTGGCCAACAACTACATATTGATAAAGAGTATAACTCTCCCCTTGCTTCATTTAGAATTGAACCAACCAATTGTCAAGACATAACCCTCACCATGATATTCGAACTCTTTTTGAGGATTCACGGAGACACTCGGATAATTGGACAATCGATGGAGCCCATTACCAAGAGAATCGAGCTTGATACCTCGAACAAAAGCCAGCTCGATATGACTCCTACTTAAGAGATACCCATAGAGACTTTTTTGAGAGTCTTGATGGTCAAGATAATGGAGGCCATCCAAAATAAAGATTCTTTCAAGAAGCTGACCCTGAAGAATGCCAGAGCATATTTTTGAAACTCAAAGAATTATTGCACGTACCATCGGGACCATGGTCATAACATTGAGAAGTGTTGGACCTTCGAGGCCCGATTGAGGATTTGATCAAAGTTGGAAAATTGAAAGAGTTTGTAGCGCATAGAGCAACCATCCAACGACGGAAAAAAGCTCTTTTTGAAGAAATTACAAATGAGTTAGTCTGGGTCAACACACTAAACATAGTCGACATAGTTCCTTCCATCTTCAAAGGGGATAGAGGAGAGTCGTCATATCGAGCCAACATCAAGAGGTCACGGACAAGTGAATTATGTACAACCACCTTGGTGCTCCGACACAGCTTAAATCCTCCATGTCTTTTACCGACATAGACCTACCACCAAAGGCAACCCCTACAATTACAGGATAATTTTCAACACCTTGATCATCAATTACCATATTGGAAGCATATTTAGCGACATCAGAAGCTTGGTGAACATTATCTTCAAGTTGATATTTTTTAAGATGAGTTTGAGCACCTCTCATCTTTCGACCATACCAGCACTACCCTACGGGTTCTCCGAAGAAACGAAAGAATCCTTGGGAACCCTCACCCTGCCAGTCACTGGGCAGAATGTGAGAAGGAATTCACTAACATGGCTTCTTATTTCGTGGTTGATTCCCCACACACCCATAATACTATTTTCAGTCTCATTGATTAACTCCATCCAAGCCTTCACCTCCACATACCATGTAGTCATAAAATTTCTAGGTGACACATAGGTGATTACAATCTGAGGTGACTTAAGCAATCACGCACCTACTATCTTTGTGTAGTCATAAGAATTCTTCAAGGGTCTCTAGATCTCAACATCTTGGGGAGAAGGCATCAATACTTACCAAATGGCCCCTACAAATGATGATGATGTCAATAAAATTTTCTTACTGTGTGATGCTTTTGATGTAGGTCATATGTCAATAAGATTTTCTTACTGTGTGATGCTTTTGATGTAGGTCATAGAAACGAGCTAATGAAGACTCTTTGAAGTTTGTGAGATAGCTTTGCCTGGTAAGCTATTGAGATGCCTGGGATACTAGTCAAAATTGCCTGCACCAGCTAAATGTAAATCTAGCGGTTTGATTGATGAAGCATAAAATGAAGACATCAACATTCATGTTTTTTGAGATGATCCTATAAAAGATGCAAAAGTTGTTGGAAGCCAATTACATTTGATAAGTCAAGTACCCAAGATGGGTATCTAAAGTGGTCATGGCTCTGAAGGCAAACAATAAATGGCGAATGTGCATCTATTTCATAAACTTGAATTATGTCTGCCCAAAATACAACTACCCCTTGCTGAGAATTGATGCATTTATAGACGTGATGGTCACCCATTCAGTGATGAGCTACATAGACACTTTCTCTGGCTACTATCAAAGTAAGATACAACCAACTGATGTAGAAATTACAACATTCATCACCGATGAGGGAGTGTATTATTATAATTCAATGTCTTTTACAGCCAACTGATGTAGAAATGACAACATTCATCACGATAAGGGGTGTATTATTATAACACAATGTCTTTGGACTTAAAATTATTGGGGCAACCTATCAATGATTTATGGATGTAATCCTTACAAAACAAAAAAAGGAAAAAAAAACATCAAGGTGTATTTGAATGATATATTAGTAAAAAACAGAACACCCAATCTACATATCAAATACTTAAAAATCTTTAAAACATTAAAAAAGTTTAGCATGTAGCTTAATCCACTACAATGCACATTCAACGTTGCAACAAAGTTCTTGGGCTATCTCTTGACCATTGAAGGAATTAAAGTAAATATAAAATATTTAAAGCATTGAGCAACATGTCATTTTCAAGAAACACCGATAAATCTAAAAACTGACCGACTGAGACATATGACTGAGAAATTTCATCTCAAAGTCACGTGACAAGTGTGTTTTTTTTTTCTTCAAGATCTTATGATGAGAAAAGAATGTAAATAAGCATTTAGAAATATGAAGCACGCCTTAGCATTACCGCCACTCCTCTAAAGCCCAAAGCCGAATGAAGAGCTTTCCCTTTATTTAGGAGTAGAACCTAAAGTCATTAGCTCAGTTTTTGTATGAGAAGAGCAAAGGAAGTAGTTTTTGATCTACACTATCAACCAAGTCTTCTCTAAGGAGCTGAGATCAAGTATCTAAATATGGAAACACTAACCTTCTCTTTGGTTACTTTGTCTGCAAGCTCCACCCGTAATTCCAAACTCATCCGATGAGAATCATCACTAAACGTCCACTCAAGTTTGTCCCCATCAGGCCGGAACACTCCAATCAGCTTCTTAAAAGGGCGGTAGAAGTTAATGAGTTTGATATCTTCTATGTGCTCTGAATCACCATCAAGGCTTAAGCCATAACTGGCTTTCTGGCCTACTTTTTTTTAGTTAAGCGAGTCCAACAATGAAATGGCGACCGATAACCATACCTGAGTACTGCATATCGATGGAGCATCTAGTCACATCAAAGTAATGATCAACCATGCTCTAAAAATTTGACTAGGTATTATTTGCACCACTTAATAGAAGTGGGATTTGAAGTCACAAGTAATCAAACTGAGTATGAACATTTGATATTCAGGATATCGTTCGTGTATTACATAATTACACCGCACCACCTGATAAAATCTCATTTGTACTTAATGGTCAATCAAGTAAATATAAATATTTTTAATTTAAAGATGAGATGATGTCCAGAGATCTCGACAAGGCCAAGGCAATGATAGAGAAATTCAAAGACTTCAAAATCGAGCACATCTCCTGATAAGATAATCAAGTGACTGGCCACTTATCTAAGTGCATCTACTTAAGGGAGGGAACACCTTAGAGAATCAACTGACTGGCCATTGAAGAAGCCCAAATAATAGAGATAGAAATTGAGGAAATAAAGAGGTAGGTAGACCTGTACATCTCTCTTCTCAAGACTGGAAATGTTATTGAGGAAGTAACCGACTTGAAGCACTTTATGATCAAAGTTGACTAATATTTGTTGATTGAGGAAATTTTTTTAAAGGTAAACCAGGTTACTACACTTAAGTTGTGTCAAGGAAAATGAAAGGGAAGAAACACTAAAATAAATGCATTCTCATCAATGTGGAAGTCATTTCGAAGAAAAAATATTATCTTACAGGATAAAAGGACAAGCCTATTTCTGGTTGACCTTATATAAGAATGTTAAATAATTCGCATGATGATCCGATCAATGCCATGAATTTGCACTGATGCAATACTAAATATCCCACAAACTGCAACCAATTGTCATCTTATGGTCATTCGTAGTTTAAGGACTCGAAATGATTGAAATATTTCCTCTGTCACGCAGATAATGGAAATTCTTGCTCATCACAATGACTTACTTCTCCACATGGGTTAAGGCAAAAGTGTTGGCTCATATTACAACTGACGTCATCCAGAATTTCATCTGATCAGATTTGATCTTTTACCATGGTTTGAAGCTCGTTATCATCATAGATAACGGAAAATAGGTGTTATTCAAGGAGTAATCTATTTCTGTCAAAGCTAAAGAAGTGAGCTAAAGAGATAAGTGAAACTTGATTTGGTAAGTCTAATCAACCCATTCTATAATGTGAAGCGACAAAAGAGCTTTTATGATATGAATTCAAGTCTCTAGGCTCAATGTGTCACCAAAATATACATTAAGGAACTATAGGAGCACTCAACTTTTAATATCTAGTTATGATCAACTCAACATCAAATCATTTGTTAATGATTAAAGTTGAGTGTATTTCAAATTAAGAGGACTCGTGATTTAGTTTAAGTTCTAATTTTGGGTCTCAACTATCTACTAGTCATCTAGTGTAATCACTAAAGAGGTCTTAA